TCTCATTGACCTGTCCTTCTTGTTGACCTGTCCTTTTAGACCCGTCACTTTTGTAATTATCATACCTTTCTCTTTCAAGACCTGTCTTTCTCTGGATTGCCAAGCCTTTCTTTTTCAAGACCTGTCCTGTCCTTCTTTGAAATTGTCAAGCCATTCCCATGACCTCTCCATGGAGACCTGCCCATTTCTTGGATTCACCGTCTTCATACCAGACCTGGCACTTTTGGATTTGGTGGAATACACTGCATGACCTGTCCATTCTGGTTAGTGGAAGTTTAAACGTTGGCCCTGCCTCTTCAGTTTTTGGAATTTCCCTCCAAAACCTTCCACCTTACCATTCAAAATTCAAAATTTCCCCCCCTAATAATTAATTCTTCCACGTGTCAAGCTGTCCTTCTCCCACCTGTCGCCTCGAGTTCCAAACCGTCTCCCTCTCTCCTATAAATACTCCTCCAACCCACCTCATTTCTTCACTTCTCTTCTTCGATCTTCAAGTTTTAACCGGTCTACTTTCTCTCTCTAGCCTTCTGCCAAGTAAGTTCTCCAGTCCTCCTAGTCTTTTATTTTCCATCTTCCCTTTTTTAACCGGCAACATAATGTCTTCTGATAGCCAAAACATCTCTGGCCAATCCTATGGATCTGGCTCTCAGCCCTCTTCTTCTTCCCACTCTGAGTCTTCTTCTCCCCCTGTCACTCCTTTGATTCGTCGCCCCTCTCACCGGTCTAGCTCCCAGGCCCGGGAAATTATTGCCCAGGACCCTGTCCCTTTGAATCAACTGCCCGGTCGATTCAATCCCAAGGTCCTTAGCTGGGAGCAATGGGAGGAACGACTAGGATCCTTGGGCTTCCTAGCCCTTGATGTCAGACCGGTGTTCAAAGAATCTTCTAGGGTTACCAAAAAGGTTCTGGCAGAGGTCCGTACCATCCTTCCACCGGGCTACAAAGTCCTTTCCACAACCACCTGGCCTAACATCATTGAACCCCACCAGGGAACCCGGTTGGGTTTCCATATTGCGTCTCTGGAGGGAGGTATTATTTTTCCTCTCCGCCCCCTCCTTATTGAAATCTGTAAAAAGTTTCATATTTTGCCCGGTCAGCTTACTCCAAACGCTCACCGGTTCTTAAATTGTTTTGTTAATATCTGTGAAAATCTTAAAATCAACCCTTCCCTTGAGCTTTTCCTCCACATGTACGAAGTCCTGCCCGGGACTAGTAATTGCCCGGGCTTCGTTTATTTTCATTCTTGTAATAAGAGGAGTTTTGTGACCGGTCTTCCCCCTAGCCACAAAAGATGGAAGAAAAGATTTGTTTTTGTTGAATTCCCCCCTGACCAATTTCCTTTCCCTAACCCTGAGTGGGCTGACCGGGTTATAAAACCTGAAAGGGTTCATCCGGAGCCCACCAAAGATCTTGAGGACGCCTGCGAGAAGCTTCTCAAGGGTGATCCTGTGACCGGGAAACCTTATGCCTATGGAGGCTGGGTATTCCGGCTATCTAATCCGGATGGGGTGAATCTGCGACCCATGACGCAGAAGATGACCGGGCAAACTCCCCGGATGGTCATGCTGAGGCCACTTCTCCTCGTCCAGGTTGATTATCCTCTCTTAAACTTCTTAATTTCATTTTCTTTATTTATGTACAAGGCTCGAAAAATAACCAGTCATATGTTGCTTTGTTCTTTTTCAGACATGAACTTCAACAGGATGACCACCATCATCGAGGATGACGACGATGATGTCCAAGTCCTCCACTCCAACCGGTCTCCTAATCGCAACTCTCCCTCCCCTCCTCAAAACCTTGGAGTTGAAGGGGCCTCAACTGCTCGGTGCTCTTCCTTTGACGATCTCATTCGAGATAAGCAGGTGAAGTCACCCTCAGCCCTCCATTTCTCCGATGGCGACCGGGTTGAATCCAAGTCCAAGGAGGCCAGCCATTCTTCTTCCCGCGCTAAGGGCCAGAAAAGGAAGGGCTCCCATAAGAGTTCCAAAGGGAGCAAGAAGAAGAAGACCGGGTCGCTTAACTTGGAAGGGGAGTCGGTAGAAGAAGCCTTCCTTGCATTGGCTAGAAGACTCCAAAAGGTATGCCATCGCTACATTTTCGCCTGGTGTAATTATCAGCCCGGGCTCTAACTGACAAACTTCTTTTCCAGGTTGGAGTCCTATCTGAAGAGATTGGCCAGTCACTCATCGAGCCAACCAACCAGGTCTCCCAACTGAATCTCCTGCTTGACTCGGCCAAATCAGAAATAAATGACCTGGTCGAGAGGGAGAGAAGGTTAGAAGTAGAGCTGAGGGCTGAGAGGGCTTTGCTGGAGGAGGAGAGGGCCAGATCTGCCTGGTTGGAGGAGGAAGGCAAGAGAAAGGTCGCTGAGCTTGAAGAGGCGTTGGCCCAAGCTGAAGAGACTGCCCGGTCAAAAGAGGAGGCCTTCCCTGATGATGCTGCGATTTGGGCCGCCTGCCATCACAGTGAAGTCGCCCGGTCCATTCTCACCAATCCGGAGGATACCATGGATTTTTTCAAAGTCATGTATAAGGAACCGGAAGGGAAGAGAATGATAACAGATGTCGGGTCCTATGGGTTTCAATGTGGCCAAAAGGAAGAGAGATCTCTTCTCTATGCCATGCTCCAGAGGAAGGACCCTTCTTTCGACCCGGCCAAGTTGAAGCTTCCAGCCCTATACAAGGAAGAGCCAGCTCCCCCCTTTCCCCTAGAGTAGGTTAGGGTTTGATTTTAAAAAACTTTGAATTTTCCCAAGGCCCGGGGGATGTCCAGCCTACTTCTGACTTGCGCAATGTTATCTTTTGTTTGGCATGGGTTTCAATTTACCGGCTTGTTTCTTCTTTCAGTTTGCATGGTTGAACTCCTTTTCTATGCACGGTTATTGCTTTTCTTTTCTTTTTCTTGATCGCCTTTGAATGAACTTCCAAGTCAATAAAACTAACCGGCCTTATACCTTAGGAATCGTTTTAAAGAACGTCCAGGTCATCTCATGTCCTGGTCTTGAAAATGTCCAGGCCTCATTGGTTTGGTTGACAAATTTCTTGAATATGCTTGATTCCAAGTCAAAAGAAGTAACCGGCTTTATCCTTTGTAGTTGTCCAGGTCACCTCATGTCCTGGTCTTTGGTTAACGCCTTAGAAACGTCTAGGTCTGGCAGGCTTTGTTGACAGCGTCCAGGTCTTTTCATGTTCTGGTCAATTCCATTTCTTGAAAATGTCCAGGTCATGTTATGTCCTGGTCAAGTACAAGCCTTGAAAACATCTAGGTCTTGTAACCTTGAAAATGTCCAGATCTTGTAGCCTTGAGAACGTTCAGATCACTTTATGCCTGACTAGTCTTCTGGACCGGTTTGTGTCTAGGTTGAAGCGCATCAAACGTCCAGGTCATCTCATGTCCTGGTGTAGTAGGCTAGGTTGGAATTTTTGAAGACCACCTTAGACGCAAAGGCTTGAAAACTTCCATGTCATCTCATGTCCTGGTTTCTTGACTTGAAAACGTCTAGGTCGGTTTCTTCCTCGCCTGTTTTCTGACCCAGTCAACTTCCAGGTTCTAATGGCTTGGTTGCAATATGTAACCAGCATGACGTCAAATTTCCTGTCCAGGTGCCGGGTCAAAAATGTGACCGGTCAAATTTTCATTTTTCCAGTTTTGTCTGATTTCATCAAATCCGCCAACTAAAGAGTGACCGGTCACTTTTCTAAAAGTTGACCGGTCAAATTTTCATTTTTTCCCATTCGCATTTTTTTGTCAATCCAGAACATTCAAAAGTGACCGGTCACTTTTGACCATGCCACCATCTTCTCCCCCTCTGGCCTGGGTGTCATGCCTAACAGCAACCTTGCTCAAATTTCGAACGAATAATCCGAAACGGTTTTGGAATCATCAAGTCTCAACATCAAGACCCGAACTTTCTTCGGAGATTTTGACCATGTCCTATGATCGCGAACCCTCTCCAAGGTTCAGCCCTCTTCCAGGCAACACCCTTCTTCCAGGGCCCCTCTTCCAGGTTTTAAGTTTTTTAATGTGCCATTCTCTAATCATTAGGTTGACCTAGCCAACCCAATCTTCCCACGTGGGGGTATGCCGGTGAGAACCAGCCCTCATCCAATCTTACATGTCCATATGTTATGCGTTTGAAGTGAATTCTAGTCTT